CTTGCAGAAAGATCAGAAAAAGCATATGCTGGAGAGATTCAATCATCAAGCACAGCCTCCTGCTGAGCCAGTACTCTTTAATTTGGAATTATCAGAAAAGCTGCGACTCCAGCATGAGTTTCTGTCTTTAAAATACTAAAATGAGCAAGAAATCACACCCTTTAAGTGTTCAAGGCATTTTAATGATGGAGAAGGTCAAAGACAAAGTGTCAACTTGTGGAAGTGAGGAGGTGTCAGGGACTAATGCAATTTCTTTCCCACTGAAATAAGTGGACTGAGGCTCAGAGGCGAGGAATGGGCGAGAATGCAGACGAGCTGTCAGGCGCGCCGGGGCAAGGAGCGACAGCGGTCAGCAGTGACACCAAGGAAGCTCCCAAGCATTGCTCCAGCAACTTATAGTGCCTCAGAGTGTACAAGGATGATCCTGCCCTTATGACAGCAATTAGGGGAATACAAAAAAGAAATGCACAGCTTTCAGAGAAAGGGGTTTTGGGACATGAGGGTGCTGGGACCAGCAATTTCTTATTGATTATCAGCTCCAGCTGGGTAAGTGGGGGACAAGAGGGCAGCTGGTGGTTCCTGAGGGAGCCCACCTGGAGGAAGCCTATAGAGAGGAAGCTGTTCTGCACCCCAGCTCCTGGTGTTAGAAGAGGGCGAGCTGTGAAAGGCTGAGGTTTCTACAGCATGTGGGTTTTCTTTTTTCTTTTTCTTTTCTCTTTTTTTTAAGAGTAGTAACCTTATTAAGTGTTGCAGTCTTTTTAAAAAAAGTTTTTTGTGTTTTGAGTTAATAGTGAAGGTAGGAAAAGAAAATGTAGTTGTGAAAGGTGCTGAGGAAGTCCTGGTCACTGCATTGGACTCTTCTTGGGTGAGTAAATATTGTACCAGTCTACGTGCTCATACTGTAACAACAACTGCAAAAAAGAAAATACTTCAGCAAGCTCTTACTACCTTTTTGGGTGATGCTGATGGACAGCAGCTTTGTTTGTGCACAGTTAGAAAAAAATTGTGAAAACAAAAGCTTTATATTTTTTTCTGTATAGTAACCGGAGACAAGGTGCAACTGGATATTCCTCTCTCTGAATCATTGAGGTCAGTGATCTTGGACTTGTTGTGTGGCCAGGAACCAATATAATTTGCAAGTACATGAATTCAGTAACTCTGCAAACCAACTGATGAGTTCTTGAGTCTTTTCCTTTGAAAATCAAGCATTGAGATAATATACTGGGAGGAGAGAAAGGGAGAAATTCATTTGCAGAGGCTTGCTAGGCTCAAGATAGATATCCATAAAGCTAGGGAAAATAGCTTTCTGTGGCTCAGCTGAGTTCCTGTTTAATTACTTAGCCAGATATGACCTTGCACAACTTCTATGATACAAGGGACTAGGAGATCTTTTGTGGTAAACACAGAGCCCATAATAACTCTGTTCTTTAATCTCCGTTTCCCTAGCTGATGACACCCTTTATAAAACTATATATATCCTTGAAGAACCTAATTGAGAAAAGGCTTTGTGAGGGGATAAAAACATTTGAGTTGCAGGAAGTAATTACACAGGAACATAGTTACTTGTCTTTTTATTGTTATGTAGAAATACTGTTATTGGAAAATTCATTTTTAGTGATGTGTTCTTTCTGCTGGCAGTTGAAATACTCATGGTCACTGAAAGAAAATTCCCAACAGGTTTGGCAGAGTGATATTATTTAGTCTGATTTTTAACATGGTTTTGGAAATGGTTAGCTGTTGATTTGCAGTTTTCTTGTGCGTATCCAGGAATCTGCCACTCCTGGTGTTACCTGACACAGATGGTGTTACTAGTGAGCATTCTCAAGCAAACCAGGCGTGCTTGGTACCTTAAAAGAGCCTCGCGGAAACTCCCATACATCTATGCAAGGTGAATCTACACTATGTGTAATAACAAATGTTATGAATTGAAGGAATTGGATAAATAGCGATGTGGCATAACGCGGGAGGAAAAAAAAAAAGCTTTGTTACAAGTGGTGCTTTATCTGAGTCTCTCTTTTTTTGGAAAGCATTAGATGAACAAATATTCCCTTTGGGGATGCTGCTGTTTTAAACATACAGTACAGGGAGCAAGACGTTAAATATGCCTGTAATAGGCAGTTCACAAAAGAAAGTAAATGATCCAAACTCTGCAACGTTCTTGTAAAACAACTTACAGAATCTGTACTAAATCTCTCTAGCCATTGGAGCCGTTCACGCTTCTGCCCTTGTAATACATATGGGGCAAGCACAACCTGCCCCTAAATCTCAGGTGCCTCCCTGTGTCAGAAATAGCCTCTCACCTGCCATGAAAACACAAATCCCTCTGAGCAGCTGGTCACAACAGCTGCTTCGCAATGTGTGGTGATACTTTGACTTCACTTAGGAAAACTTCAAACTCTTCAATATTGTCTCCTTCCGATATTTTGCTGTTCAACTGCTCTGCCTTTAGGGGCAAAGCTAGGCCCACTAGTTCTTAATTGCCTCCTTCCCCAAGTGATTTGAGAGATTGCTCTCTAACTCACTGTAATTATCCTTTACTGTAAACTAACCCAAGTACACTGTGATTTTGGTGTTACAATCATTAGCAAGCATCCTGCTTTGAATATTAATGTATTCTGGGAATGTCCAGACTATAAGTAAGGGCTGATTTGCATAGCAAGCACCTCTAAAATACCCTGAGAAACAAATTCATTTGATTTGAACTGAAAACTACTGTTTTAAGTACAGAATATGAATGGATGGAAATGTTGTAGAATGGCTTTACATGGAAACATTATCCACAAGGGAGACTAACTTTCTTTCCCCCAAAGCACATGTAGAAAGGAAGTCACCTGATGGGAGTGTCAGGTCCAATTCTATGTTCACGGAAGACTTCCCTTGTGTTCAATGTTTGTTGCATAGTTTATTTTTTGGGGTCCAGAGCCAAGTCTTACCTTTAGAGGCATTATTTACAGTGTTATATTGGAAGTGGGCTACTCCTTTAAGACCTGAGAAATGTGAGAAGAATGATGGCTTCCCTTCAAATCTCTTCTCTTTATGGATTATGTTTGAATAGATTCACCATAGTTTCCTTAAAGTCTGAAGCTGTGCAGATGCTTTCTGCTGTTGTTGTCAAGGTATGTGGTGGACTGCTCGGTTCTTTGAGACGGGTGAATGCGTGCCGCATACAAAAGTAATGCTGAATGCCTTGAACAGCTGGGTTTTGCCATTCAGCTCCTATGTGAGTTTCTAGACCTGCAGTTTCCTGCTATGTTTCCTATAATAAGCGATGAAGTATGGCTATGCCACAAGTATGCCAAGCATAGTAGAACAATTTGCATAGCCATGTCGTTGATTGCTGAGTAGTAAAGGGAATGACTGGAGCTTTTCTGCCTGGTGAAATTATTTCAATCAAAAGTATGATCTGAATTTCAAAGTAACTCTCTACGTGGACAGCCCTATTCTAATAATAGGGACCCTTTAACCAATGTAGAATAACAGACAATGTAGAATAATAGACTTTGCTCCTTACTGGGGCAAGCTACATCAGAAATAGACGCGCTCAAAAATGTGCATACAAAAAGCTATTGCTGAAAAACTTTGTCCACAAAAGCCTGCTCAGTTATTTTGCACGTGTAGGCAAACCCTTTGTCAGAGCATTTTACCGCATAATTCAGCGCAGAGAGCGCTTACTTGATCATTGAGCTTGTGCATAGTGCTCAGATCTCAAGACACCAGGAGTACCTAATGCAGGTACTAAGAGCACCTCAGTGCTAGAATACAGCTTGCTGAGCATTCATACGCCTGGTTTGGCTAACAGAATCACCTGAACTTCTCTGATCTGCAAAATTGTTTTAATTATATATGAGACTACTGCTTTGGGGTATTTCAATACCTCTCTTACTGATCCTGACCAGGAGACAGACAAATACAGAAGTCATAGAATATTAAGAATTACGAAATAGAAAACTAGGTTTAAAGACAAAGGGCTTGCTTATTGCTCTTGAAAACACTCAGGTATTTACAAGGAAAAAAATCCAGAATAAAGGCTAGAGAATGTAATGTTGCATGCTTAGGAACTTTCAGTTAATCTCTGAATATGATAGTTCTCACACATGTGGAAAATTGCAAGGAAATAACTGTCACGCTGTTGAGTTTTGTCTATTTATCATTTTAAGTCCCCACATCTAAGGGCACCTCTGAGAATTACTCTTGAACAAACATGATAGAGTCCCTGGATATTAGAGAGTTAATGAAAATAAGTCTAGAAGAGCCCCCAAACGTTAGCCTGTGAAGATTTTACAGCATCACCTGCTATGTTATTTGCTAAAGTGTAAGGCTGTGCTTTCATCACATCACTGGCAACCTTAAATATTTATCTTATAGGCTGCTAATGAAAATTATCCAATTAATTCTCGTAAGTCAAACTGTCTATATTTTTTTTACTCTTTTCTGGCTTTTTGTTCTTTTTTTAAAAATCTCCCATAAATACACTATATTAGAAAAAATTATCTTCTGCTGTTGTTTACTTTTCAGAAATAGTGAAAGAAAGAATACAGATAGTGTCTATAACTGACGCATACATACATATCTATCTATCTGCATGAACATGCCTATACATTCACAGGAAAGACAAGTTAATGCAGTGTAAAACATATGTTGTCATCTAAGAATTCAGAGTTCTTGGCAAGTCTGCTTCAGAATCTGATCCTTTTATGTAGGTAAGACAAAGATCTCTGTTACCTGAGGTGTAAAAAGACTCCTTTGTTATCCAGGTGTTCAGGGTGACACCCTTCAGTAGAATTTACATGAGCAAGAGGCAGCCAGTACATTCATTACATGCCTTATTGTATGAGACCATCTCTGTGTATCCATGTATGCATCCATATTTAAATGCATCTGTGTATGCACAACAGCCTTTTAAAGGAACTTCAGACTATGGTCCTCATGATCTATCTGTCTCTAAATGTCCCATTTGCACATACTTGTATTTGTGATGGTATCCCCAGTTCTAGCCTTACCTTCACATCGTTGACATTCATCCTTGTTCCCTCCTTCCCAACAAAGATGTCATCTATGTCAACGAGGATGTACCTATCCAAGGATAGTGCGAGCTTCTTCCCAGACAGGAAAGAGATGGCATCGATAAAGATCAGCTTGTGCAACCAGAAGGTCAAGTTGTTTCCAAAAAGGACTCTCTGAATGCCGTCATGAAGGCCTAAGTCCTGGATGACTGTTGCATACAGCTCAGCCTTTGGCAATTCCACTGGCAAGGGTCTGGAGGTCTGCAGTTCAGTTAAAAGTACAGGTTGGTAGGTGGAGTGGTTAAAGTGGAAAACTGTCCAGTCTTCACCAGGCAGGGGGCCTTTCTCAACTCTTGGCGCTTTGGTAATGCGCAGTAGTGGAGACTGAGGGTTTACAAAACAGTCTTTGAGGGCTATGTTATTGTAAAGATGTAATGGAAATCCTTTTAGTTTGGTACTTGGTGAGCTGTTCTCGTTGGCTTTATGAAAACCAATTATGCTAACACTGTATTCCACACAGTATTTTTCTAAAAGCTCTCTATTCCATGAGTCCATAGATACATATTTTAAAATATTCTCATATATAACAATCATATATTTTCCTTTTCCGTTGTCTGTGAGAGGAGGAATATCCCCCTTGGCAGGTGCAATGACCATATGGTATGGAAACCGGCTGGACTCAAGGATGGCTACAATGTCTTGCCCCAGCTGGGAATACTGGCTTTCCACAAACAAGAGGACGGTGGGGTCAGTTTTAGATGGATCAATCGGCTTTGCGGTTTTCAGCTCTGTGGACCTGTAGGGTAAAAGTTTAAGATCTTCACATTCTGCTTCTCCAGTGGTTTCCACAAGGGTCATTGGCTGTTTGTAGCCCGTGTACAGGTAGTAGGCAGAGATACCAATGCTTGCCAGGCAGAACGTGGCCAAGAGGATTACCAGCGTTCTGAAACTGCGTCGAAGTCTCACTGTAAGATTCATTTTTTGCAGGACTCTCAACTTCTGGTGGACTTGTCTCTTTTTGGTTTTTCTCTTCCTAAAGTGCCATAGTAAGAAGGAGACGCAGAGGTGCTGATTCCCCTACAGAGTTGTTCATGTGACCATTGCAGTACATTTATGGAACTGTTGGGGAGGTTATAAAGTTGTCGGAGGTGGAAGCCAAAGGATCTGGAAAGCTAAATCGGAAGAGACTTTCTCAGCATACAGCAGTTGCCAATAGTCAATGAAGAAGACTCTTAACATTATCTGCAACAACAGGTAAAAGAAGAGTAAATAAAAAAAAAAAAAAATCCATGAAGCAATTAAAACACATGTTAATTAAGACCAACTAAGGTTAGTAATCTGAGCTAAGAGAGTTTATAAACAGTTTAGGGAGCGCTCATTGTCACTTGCTTTCTTGATGTATTAAGTCATAAAACATACTAAACAGTTCTCATATGTTCTTTCAGTATAAAAATAGTCTAAATACAGCCTTTTGAGGACAAATGATATATTTTCTACTGCTGTTCCTTGGCCCATTGCTATTGCTAATGGGAATGGCTAAAAACTGGAGGACAACATTAAGACAAAAGGTTGGTTAAGTACCTAGAGAAAGCTTTATGTCAAACTCGTACTTTTGTGGCCAAGTATTTTGAAAGGGTTAATATATTCTGTTTTCAACTGTGAAACTAATCAAGGCAAAGTGAAAGACACAGGACTTCTCTCTAGTTGCTATTTTGTACCCAAAGTGATCAGTGTCTGTATTCCATTTAAGTACTTTCATGAATGATTAAATGAGAAGGTGAAACAAATGAGTAGGGGACCAAAACTGCAGGGCGCAACACTGCATACCCCTCCCTGGGATAAACTAAGGAATGCATAGACCTGAACAAAGCAGGAGTTGCTGAACAACAAAGGAATTATTCAGTGTGGCAGATACATGTGTACTCTGGACCACAGCTTCTCTTGCTAAAGGACTGGGGCTTCAGCCTGTTCTCTCTATCCTGAACAGCTGATGTGCGAGACCCTCAAACCTTACAGACTGGCCAACTCTGAGGCATTTATGCAATTCCTAGTAGTTCTACCTAAATCTGTGAAGAATTACCATTACTAACGCAGAACCATATGACTCAGAGGCAATTAAAACTAAACAAATAGCCCACGGTGCTCTATGGGTTTAGATGGGAACTAACACCTTTCTGAATTATTTATATTGTTTACCTACTGGAACAATGTGAGACTGTAAACAATGGATGATTTTTGTACTGCTTAGAACAAGCACTCTTTCAAAGCAGGCGTCAATTGACAGTTCCTCCTCCATTAACCCAGATTACTATTCTGCTAGTTGATTTTTGAGCTCTACATCTAAAACTTGGGGGTAGAAATACCTTTTAAGAAGATATTTAGGAAATCTGTCTACCAGTATTATCTTATGATTCTGGTATACTGTTCCAAGAAGCCTCTTGATCGTGTTAGTTCAGCATTAAGAAAATGCAAGTGAGAAGTTTCAATTGTGTTTTAAACACTTCATATATGCTGCTCTCCTAGTATCAGATAGTAGAGAACTACACCGCTTTTGGGAGCGTATTGAGCAACGACCAAAATGCTGAAGTAATTCTCAATTAATAGGTCTACTTGTTCATGAGGTTTGCTCCTCACCTCACAGTTTAGAGGGAGCTGTTACTGACGCTGTTTGTGACTTTGTTAGGATACAGTTTTTATCTGCATTACCTTTTTTGGTCAGCAGCTGGCTATGAAATTCATAGCCCTGTTTTGTGGGCTACGCTATTGGTGACCCTGCCGAGTAGTACTGTGGCAATTAGCAAAAAAGGGAGTAAGGTCGGTAGTTTATGCATGGACAGAAATATAACAAGAAAAAATATTACTAAATGTGGGAGACCATTATGTATGATAGAAGAAATATAAAAGAAATACAGCTACCATTCCTGATAACTGCAAGGGTATTTTTTCCCCTTTAGTGCTTCCCTTGTTCTCCGGTTCTGTGTGCCTGTCAGGAGCTCACTGCTTATTAAAACTCCAATTAAGATTTTACAAAAAGATAAAATTGGATCAAGTGAAGCTCTCTCTATAAGCCATACTTCAGTTTTGGTACTTTGCTGCCATTGACAGGTCACTTGACTCTGAGGTGTTATCAAACTGTGAGCGTGTCGGGGGGAACGATGGCCTCGCTGTGCGTGCTGTCTGCCCGCAAAACAACCAGCTGCAGCAAGTCTTGCTTGTTTCTGCCTAAAAGATGCAGAAATTTTGAAATAATTATTAATTCCCCCTCTCGGACTTTGTAGCCTCTACTTTCTTTCGGCACTAGAGGGCAATATCTTCTTGCTTTTGCCAGGCAGCACCTGTTACAGCCCTGGCAATTCAGTGAGCAAAGAGCCGCACAGGCAGTGGGGGCCCCAAGGGTCTCAGGTCTGCGCCAGCCAGCAAAATGCCTTATTTAAGACTCTTATGCCAAAACAATGCGATTGTTGCTCTGAAAAATCTGCTACTATAACACACTGAATACTTACAAATTTCTCAGTCCGCTTCTGCAGCAGAAGGGAAGAGCATGCAAGGAGATCTAAAACTGCACGTTTTCTCCTCGCTGCGTTGTCCTGCTGGATCTTTCAGGCACTGGCATCACAAGCTGCCAAAATAAAACACTTGATGAGCTGGGTCTTCACTGTTGCTATCACTTGTATTACTATATGAAAGTCCCTGCCTTTATGCTTAGACAAAGCAAAAAATATGATCCTTTTCCCAAATAACTTATGACCTAAATAACATAGGTAAAATCTTTTCTAGTTAAAATGTGATTAAATTTAATTTAAACTAGCACATCTTTTGTATATAGTTGTTAAAAGGTGTGCGTGTGTTCCAGTACTTATATGTCCAGATAATGGTAAACTGATAAATTTGCACATGGAAGCATGGAATTTGAACAAATCCCCCTTTTAGTTTGAATACTGTTTGAACTGCTCTGTTGAACCGATAATATTGCTCAGTAAGAAACAGTGCAAGGTAATTAAAGTTTATGAAAATAAATCAGCTATATTAGCCGTTAGTGAGACATTTTCCAAGACATAATTGGAAGTTAACTGCCATTTGAGCCTTTAAAACTCTCCCTCTTAAAGTTCATCAGCTTTATATTCACCCAGCAACTCATATTTCTTAGGAGTATTTCTGTGCTATATTACTTTGCAAAACTTGAAAATAGGCCATATTTAATAATTAGCATTAGTAATGTAGTTTTATTTTAGAAAATGATGTTTAAGGTCCTGTGATCCTACGGTTACTGGTCAGAATTCATTGGCTTTTCAGTGTTAGGTCCAAAGTTGGGAACGTTTGGTCAAGGAATCACGGTTACGTTTATCCTGAATTGGTTCTTCAGTAGATTTGCAATCTTGTGTTTAGCTGACTTCCTAGACGTGATGCATTTTCTTCTAAAGAGCAGAACTCTACCGTGTAACACTGTTGTAATGCCGTGCCCTTCTGCTAGAGCTGTAATTCTTCTTTAATTCAGACGAACAGAAGAAAACCCAGAATCTTCCAAGAGTTCTTCCTCCTTGCTAAGTAACGTTTCCTGCTTCCCATACAAATACATTTGATGGATTAAAACATACTGATTTTTGAAGAGGACTGAGAGATTAGAACTCTACAATGTAACGGTACCAAGATAGTGAAGAAAAATAGGCTTTTACTGATGACACGTGCTAACATAGCATCAGGAAACAAAGCTGACCCTCTCATGGTCCAGTTCCTGAATGTGGACCTTCTCACAGCACTTAGTGCTTTAACGAGCCTCTTGACCAAACTAGAGAGACAGAGGCACTGCAGAAGGCAGTTATATATTGCAAAGGTAGCTATTAATCCCTAATGAGGGAGTTCTGAAATAATGAAGCGATTGCCTATGCAAATAAAGAGAATTCTATTAAAGACCACTGCTGCTCCATATCATCTGGAGAAAGACATGCTACATCATATGTGAGCGTCTGGTCTCAGGTAGGAGGACAGCAGTGAGAATTTGGTGCTTCGGCTGCCAGCCTGAGCAAGGCAATCCTTTCTCTCCTTCTCTGGAGGCATAGACTGTTCTTTCCTTTCTTTTTTTTTTTTTTTTTGGTTGTAGGTAGGCTATGGATGTCTGATCTAGTTTAGCTTATGAAAAGCATAAATCTTTGTTAAGCAAACAGTTGTTTTTATCCATCCTACTGATTAAGCAAAGGCATTTTACTTCACATTTATAATGCTGAGTGGAGGAGCAGCACACTTGTTGATTCCCTGTAATACAATAACCTCTGATTGCCTGTCCGTAGCAGAGTGCAACGCTGTGTAGAGCACTTCACAGGTAATCCAGCTGGATCCAGGCCAGAAGTTCCCCACATCATATTCCAGTATAAATCAGAAGTTGAATGTCTCCATTTTCTATATACAAAATTTCACCCCAGGCTAAAAAATTAATGTAAAGGCTTTCCTCCTTTCCTTCCTTTTTAAGCTTGTATAACTCCTACCATTTATTAGCAATCCAGTGATCCATGATACCTATGCACTTTTCCTTGCATATGACTGCTTATTCAACACACAAACCAGCAAACTGATTTGAGGGAAAAATGACTCCTGTTGCCTGTCAGCAAAAGTTCAGTGCTTCTATTCACTGTGGAGAGATGGAGCTGCTTCTGCATGGGGGGGAAAAAGCTGCTAGAGACTTCCAGCTGAGCTCTTCAAGTTTGGTTTAGCAATGTTGCAACGTTTTGTGTTTATAAACATGGCTTTGCTCGCAAAGGGGGCTGATCTCCACTGCTCATAGCTTATTATATGTTAATACAAAATACTTTCATTTGCAGAGACAGCTTTTACAGTGGTAAACCTGTAGTAGTTCTGACTTTGCTCTAATTCTCCATGATAACTTGAGTGGTGAGGCTGCCAAGGCACTCTTATTTCTTTTGTTTGTTTGTTTTCAATTCGTAGTTAATCTCTGAGTCAAAACACTTATTTTTTCAGTATTTATTTTCAGCGTTTGAGGAGTCTATAGCACACATGATATTGTGTGATTCCAGAAAGCTAAATGATGCCAGGGGTTAAAGCTGATTATCAATGAATATAAAGCAAAGTTTAAAATGCCTGAACTTGTGCATCGAATGAAACCTGGCCAAATCATATGCATGAAAGCATACTTGGAAACAAGCTATTTGACCCTTTTGACTTTTAAGTTTCTTTGGCTTTAAATTTTCCCAGATGATTTTAGAACTTGGACCTTTGAAGAAAAAAAACCCTTTCTGGTGGAAGGGCAGCTAGAGGCATTTTTGGAGATAGGTTTTAGACATATAAACATTCTCACACATGTGCACTCTTTCACATGCATATACGATGGTTGGGAGATGTGGGTCTTTACTCCACATTTAGGATTTTAAACTCCCTTAGCTCTTGACAAAGCTGATAATTTTCCATGAATTAGTCTACAGCAGTCAGATGTTTTGTCTCACTCTAGGACCATCAAAGGTGGTCCATCTTTTTTTTTTAGTTATATTTAATATTGCCAAGTGTGACTTGAATCATATCGATGGAGTAGTTTTCTTTGTTATTTTCAATGCTTTGCTTGTCTTTTGACTAAGTAGGGAGAATTATGATTAGAGAAAATGATTTAATAAACATCATCTCTATTATTTCTTCCTTTCTTATTTCCAAAGATGTGCAGATAGCCAACACTGACTTGTATCAAGTCCCAGTTTCTTGAATACATACTATAGCTGTACTAACAGCACATAAGACATATTTCGTTCTCATGAATTCATACATGATCTGAAGTTGCTGACTCACCAGGTGTTTTTTCTTATTGATGCTTTTAGAAGTGCAACTATAATCTCTGCTAATGGACCTACACAAAGATATTCTTTATGAATCAGTGGGAGACTTTTACTAATGTGAACTAGTAAGATAAGTAAGAAATTGTTCTTTCTGTAAATCCTCCCACGTGGAACTGTTGCCTCCTTCAATTCTCTAGCCCGTTTATAACGTTTCATATCTTTTGCAACTCCTTGGTATTTATTCTAAAATTTAGTTACATTTCACTTCTGGCAAATGTTGCCTGATGTTCAGCCTCAATTCTTTATTCTGACCCCTCAACTCCCAACACTCCCATAGACATTTGGACCACCCAGAAATACACATAAATATATCATCTGTGATGTTTCAGTAACCTTTCCTCTGTTACTGGTTATCACGTTCTTTAACGGTCTGTTGTTTCAGAACATATGTAGATGCAATATTTCCTCAGAAATAATGCTTACTGTTGATTTTCTTTGAATGTCAGCTGTGGAAGCACCTAGAAAGCAGAGTAATTTATGTACATATCCTGTTGAGACTATATTTGAAGAGGGAACCCCTATCTCTTTCCTGTTTTATGACAGAATGGCTCTGATAAACATTGCAAAGGGTAGCTCTTAATGACCACATTTTCCTCAGTCCCACAGAAGGCAGAACATCACATAGTAATATTTTGCTGTAATCAGGCAAAGCATCTTAGCTGTGTGGTCGGAATTAAAATAAATATTTTATATATAAGTAAAATATAATGCCTTTTGCAACAAATGTGTCCATCTTGCTTGAGAAATGGTAATAATATGCATCTCACTTCACCAGTAGTTCACCAAAACATCAATAAAGATCATTATCATTATCCTTGGGTACAGACCTGACTTGCTCAAGGTCATTCAGCAGACCAGTGGCTGAGCTGGAAGCAATGAGCGCTTGCTCTTGCATGATGCCCTTCATCTGATATCTTTATAACCCTCATGGCATCTGTAGTAAAGTAATTGTGCTACCAAGGACAAAATGAAGACTTTGAGATCCGAATGTCAGAAGTTTACCTCTTAAGCCATGATGACAAAGCCAGAACGTCACAGCAGAAAGTTGTGGGAGAGATTCCCGTGTTTCTCTACTGTATGTGAGCTACCCTGATCAAGCCCCTGAAACTAATTCTTTGCTTTTCTAGGGGAGTTTAAATAGAGAGTACAGGTGTAATTAACTGACTATCATTGCCCTAGTCTTTTTGAACGAAGCTGGTAGATAAAAGCAGGCTTCATGAACTTCCCCAAAGCAGCCCACAAAAAAATGTTCCTCCTGACCTGATACAAAAAGTCTCGTGATCCAGCTTGGTTAATGGCTCTTCATCACTCTTCAATTCATAGTTTAATGCTTCAGTGAAAGCCAATTAGAATTCATTTAACTTTTAAAACTTTCGTGAGATGCTATATCAAATGTTTTATTACAGTCCACCTTTATCTATTCTGTTGCTCTTGTCTACTTCTGTAAGACTGTCAATTAGAAATCCAGTTTCAATAGAATGATTTGTTTTTAATTCAATCGAGGCTTATGTTTGTGCAATATAATAGCTGCCTAACAACATACAGCTCCTTAAAGTCAGTCAATGCAATAGTCAACCCTGTTTGTTTTGTTTGATCATATAGTAAAGCTAAAATAACAATATAAATATTACTTACAGCTCTCTTAGCATCCTAATAACTCCAGATCTTCTATATGTGTATTTTCAAAACTTGCTAAGGATTACAGATTTGCTGGGTAGCTACTAAAACATTACTTTTTGGAAGCTTCTTACACAGTAATAGATTAAAAAGCTCCCCTCTCAGTGAA